CTCAAGTCCTGGTCATTCAGGCAGTGCAGGAAGCAGTTCTTTTGGCTACGCTAGTCATATGAGTCTGGGCGGTGACGCAAGTTATTCTCCACTTTCAAGACCAACATACGGTGGTACCGGCAGTTCGTCCAGTCTAAGCTTGGGAGCTGATAGTAGTTCGCCCAGTTACTCACAACAGCAGTCCTACTCACCCACTTCGGTTGGCTACCTTCAACGTTCACCGCAGCGGAGCATATCTGGATTTGGTTTCGGCTCCACTGTATCACCCACTGGTGCTTCTCCCGACAGTTTGGATTCGTACAGTCCCGGCAGTCCTGCCTTGCCTGGTTCTGGATTAAGTTCATCCGGTCGGGGCCCATCAAGTTGGATCGCTCCTGGTTCAGATACTCCCGGCGGCTTCTCACCCAGCATTGATTCAGGTTCGTCATTGAGTAATCTGATGCCCAACTTCAATCCGTACAGTCATCCCAGTCCTCCCCCCATGTACTATGCGTCTCCATCTGCACCGCGCTACAGTCCACAGCCGTCGTTTGGAGGCTCGTCTATGTTGTCCTACTCACCACATCTTGGTACTCCTAGTTCACCTAGTGGTGCTGGGACCACGACCGGCATCACAGGCCCCAGCCATTCTCCGTTGTCCTATCCAGCCACACCAAACTATCCATTGTCTTCCCACGGCGGTGCCATGGGAACCGGAACTGGTTCAAGCATAAGCGGTCTTGGTCTCTCTGGTACCGGATACGGAACATCCTATTGCCCGTCGGCTTTCAGCCCTTCCAGTTTTCAGAGTTCGTCTTCACAATACCTAATGACCTCTCGACGCCCTACCTCGCCTTCACCGAGTCCGCGAGAGTACTCGCCGGCCCCATCTTCGGAAAACCGCCGTCAGTAGTACTGATTAAAAACACTTGTAATATATTTTGATCGCTTCGGCTTCTGTAAATTCCATCAAAATACCCAGTTTTTTTACTGAAGTTTTTGTCGTATTTTATTTATTAACTATAGAAAGTTAAGTCATTGCTTTTCGCTACAGTCTTATGTCATGCCCTGATGAATAAATATTAAGGCTTTTGGTCGTATGCAATTTTTAACGGATTATAAACATACGCGGTTGTTTGTTGGAATTCCATCAATAGCCTTCGAACCAATTACACACGTATCGCTGCTTCCATGTCATTTATGAAGACCTAAGCTTTTCGGAATAAAAGAAGAGTTAGTGACGGCCACGCAGGAAATTAAGATCGAAGTCTCAGATGTCGGTACCAGTTATTTTGTTGTCGAGCATTTTCGGACCCAGTACCCTCCCAATTGTGTTACGAACATATGTCTGTCGGTTAGCATTGTAGGTATTCAGATTCACTTCTTGGGTGGCATTCACAGGTCGGTCCTATTTGCGAGATGGGGGTATTCATTCTATGAGTGTATTATACTCATGCTTATTAACTTCCTCGGGTTTTTATTAAGCCATGACTAGACAGCCTTCTGAAGTCTTTTGACAGAGCCGCAGTCGTCAAAAAGACAGTTTTCATTTGTACGAGCATATTCCGCATGATTTATCATTCCCATACTCTGCTGTAGCGAGATTGATTCTAGACATTAACTGGTGCATTCGTCGAATCCTGTATATTAGCTTGGTGAACACAAACTGTATACAGAGACGTCTAACCACCTGCTTTTCGGTGTTTCTGTGAGTTAGAAGGTCGCTGACTCGGCCGGGTTTATCTCTAGTGTCATAAATTCAAACCAGCTTAAGGACTCAACGGAAAATGGGGGCACAAATACGAGGCCCCCCAAAGTTCATCACAATTAATTCAAGGTTCCTCCCATGTAGAGCGGTCGTCGTCCAACAGCTTAAGGGTAAAGGATCGGCTCAGAATTCGGAAGAATTCTCGGTCTTTATTTTGTGTAGACCGCCCTTCGCCGCTGGCCGTTGGAGAGAAACTGGATTCGGAAGAGCAGCAGGTTAAAGACCCTACCAGGTCCGGCAACAGCGTGTTCTCCACCTAGCAAATGGGGTGGTTACCTGTCCCTCTGCGATTTAGCGCTCCCCACTTTAAATCTGACAAACTTTACTCATGAGGAATGCCTTGTACTGGTCGAAGCTGTGGCTCTAATAAAGCTTTTGTTCTTATGGGGTGAGCGGACTAATTAAATAAGTTATCAAATTTGTTTGTCAGATAAGTGGCGTTCTGAAGGCTTTTGTGACATTTGGTTAGCACCAAGGTCGAATAAGGAGCAACTTACGTAAAGTTGAAAGTGATTTTACGCCAGGGCTAAAGTCATAGTATGTCTTTACTACAGTAAGGTGTTCAGCAACATACCTAGAACTTAAATATTTGCTATTGGAACTGGTTTACGGAAAAGCTGATTATGTAGATCGATTCCGGCATTTGGGAGTTTGGGTTAGATTATGCGTGTAAGATTTCTGTCACCGATTCTGCAGATACGTTCCCCAAGTCCTCGGATGCCGCCAAGATTTCATATATCTTCAGGCCTACATTATCTACTGTATTTTCATTGACCAAATATCTTCACTGTCGGGCATAACTCGATCTGCCTGGAAAGCCAACCGTAGAAATCTAGAACTAAGTATGTGGAGAGGAGGGAGAATCAACCCTCTACATCTTTCATTCGGCCTGCTCTGACTTAAGATTTAAATGCCGCTTCATTAGTAGGTTCGGTTTGCATAACAGTATCCGACTTCCTTTCTTGGATCCTCGATTACAGTATTTGGTCCTCTTTTGACCAAGGCGTGGGAAATTAATCTCTAAATCGGTTGCTAATCAAGCCTTCAAAGATCTATGGATTAGAAGCTAACTTGTCGCCAGTTCCGTTAGGTCACATCAGTTTGGTTTCATGTACGCCGCCCACTACCTATAGCTGACTGGAATACAGTAGGGCTGATTGGTTATATAGTTGTTAAAAAGCCAATTCCATGTGTTCGGAAGGCAAAATCGTTGAACTCAGAGAGCGAGCTAAATAGTAGAGGAAACGGCGACTGGTTATACGGAATCTGGTTCTCTGAGCAGACGGAAGATATCAGGGTCAGCCTACAAGTGACATGCGGAGTGCAACGCCCCAAAACTCTACACATTCTTACTATAGACGACTGGAGTGTGACGACGCGGAGGTAATCTTAAGAATATGTCTACCCACCGCAAGGGTAGTGCTGATCTTTGAAAATGACACAATGATGCGCGAACCATAAAAACGACTTCTGCTCTGCATAAATACGGTTCAAGATAACGCTGAGGGCTGGCCAAAAGCGAGTGGCGATGGAGCGTGATAAAATCCTGGATTTATGAGCAAAACGCTGTCGGCCGTTGCATAATCTCCAAAAATAGGCGAACCACATTTAGTATGCGTCGGACGGGGCCTACTTTCACGGTAGCCACTGCACCTGTCCTCATCATCTCTAGTTAAAGTGATGCTGGCTTGCTGTTAGCACATGATGGAGCAGGGAAGAGGGGTTGAGTTCGGCATTGATTACTGACGTTCCAGCTCTCGAGTTGGCTAGCCATAATAAAACTAATGCGGCTGTGGACTATTGAAACACATTAAGGTAAGGTATATTTTCTTCGGTCTCCTCTACTTTAATTCACGGTAAGGTTATCTTTGCTTATCAGTCCGGAAGTAGGTTTCGAGTACCGTGTGATAACTAGACAGTTTAACTGATTAGGAGCGCACCGTCTGTTCTTGCTTATGTGGGAGGGGCTAAGGAAAAGCGCCCTACCCACGGCCATCTTAAACCCGGCTTCTCTCTGCTACATGCTGTTTACAAGATTTCCTATCCATTACGGTCGAAACGCAAGGGAGTTGCTCCCCCCCTCCGGCCCCTATTTGACACCATGTTCTGCAGACAACTAACGTTCAATCCAGACGCGTCCGATTTTGAAGGGTATAACACCAAACACACAGTTGAGCTTGATGAGGAGGCCAAAACCCTGCCCCACTCCTTGGAAGTTCGTCGAACACGAGATGGTTATGTCGCCTGACCTTTTAGAAGATTCAGCAGCAAGTTTTATGCAAACTAGTTTTGAGATGTAACCTTAATATATGTGCTCCTACAGTTCGTGAGGTCGTCTGACCTATACCGAGTAAAATCTAAGAAATGTAAAGGTTAAACATCGTAACGCAGCCCTGAGCGAATGGGTTGCCCTGCGACTTAAAGATTGGGTTGAAATTTCCACTATGTCCGAAAAGGGGCATCACACATGGAAATTAGTGACGTTTCATATAATGTTGCGCCACCTAAGTTTAAGGGAAAGGGGAAGAACGATCGCAGATTAAATGGATTTGGAAATAGGTTTGAAAGCGCTTTACGGACCCAAGTGTTCGAACGAAGAGGACGATCTTTAGTAATGAAAGTGCGCTAGTAGCTGGAAGAATATTGCCGAGAGCGGAGAATCTGAATGCGTTTTTGAGGATGATGGCTCGTTGTAGAAGGCTAGGCTTGACATTGAACAGGCTAAACATTACGGTGTCTTGAAACCCCAGGGTTAGGTAGCATGCATAAAAGATGCCTCAGAGCCTACGATTTTGGAAAGATGGGCCTGAAAAATACTCTTCCTATACTATGGCTTCTTGTTTTTTATGAAGATAAACAATGACAGAATTGGGATAAAACTTGGTGCATAAACGCGCTCCCCAAAATTTTGGGACGACTTTCGAGTTAACTTTACTGCAAGTCTATTGGCCGTGCGTTAAGAAAAGGTAGCCAGTGCCAAGCGTAAGCCGCCATTATAGCCAATTTCCAATTATCTCTTTTAATAGATATCCAATAGATACATATTTTACCGTTCAAAATTGATATAAACAGGATATTGGGAGCTCTATGAATATAAACACCTTAGACGCTAAATAGACGTATATTGCTACCAGGAACCTCCCGTGACCCCATGGAATGTTGTGCGATTACGAAGATTAATTAGCCGCGATCCTGCAGGAACTGGACAAATGGTACCGGAGGATGGCGCGTGAAAAAAGGCATATAGAAAGAATTGTAATTTATTTATAAAAAAACATAAGACACCTATGGCCCCAATAAAGTACTGTGTAAGCGCCGTAAAATGCGCCCAAATCAGCCACCGACAGGAAATTCCAAGTAGACGAG